CATCCTGGGTCTCCAGGATCACACCCCGGGCCACAAGCGGCGCTAAACCACTGCGCCACCGGGGCTGCCCTCACCAGCACTCTTTATGGTCTTTTCCCCATTGTAAATTCTTGCCTCCTTCGTCTGTCTCTTTCTGCTTAATTACTAGTGTATAGAAATGCAATCAATTTCTGCGTATTCATTTTGTATCCTATTTTACTGAATTCATTTATTCCAATACATTTTTAACAGAGTCTTTACAGTTTTCTATGTAGAATATCATGTCATCTGCAAGTAGTGATAGTTTAACTTCTTCCTTATCAATTTGGCTATCTTTTTAAAAAAAATATTTATTTATTTATTCACAAGAGACCCACAGAGAGAGGCAGAGACATAGACAGAGGGAGAAGCTGGCTCCCCATGGGAACCCTGATGTGGGACTCGATCCCAGGACCCAAGGATCATGACCTTGACCCAAAGGCAGATGCTCACTGAGCCACCCAAGTGTCCCCAATTTAGATCTCTCTTATTTCTTGTCTGATTGCTGTGAGTAGGACTCCCACTACTATGTTAAATAGAGCTAATGAAAGTGGGCATCCTTGTCTCATTCCTGATCTTAAGGGAAAAGCTTTGTTTCCTACTATTGAGTATGATGATAGTTATGTGTTTTTCATATATGATCTTTATTATGTTGAGGCATGCTCCTTCTAAACCTACTTTGTTGAGAGTTTTTATCATGAACAGATGTTGAATTTTGTCAAATGCTTTTTCTGCATCTACTGAAATGAACATATGGTCTTTACCCTTTCTCTTGTTGATGTCATGTATAATGTTGATTTATAAAGATTGAACCATCCCTGCATCCCTGGAATGAAACATACTTGCTCATGAATGATTTTTTTTAAATGTATTGTTGATGCAGTTTGCTAGTATTTTGTTGAGAATTTATGCATCTATGTTCATCAAGTATATTGGCCTGCAGGGTTTTGTTTTTTTGTGGATTTCGTTTGGTTTTGTTTGGTTTCGGGTTTTTTTATGGGTTGTTTTGTTTTGGTAGTGTCTTTGTCTGCTTTTGGTATCAGGATAATGCTGTCTTTATAGAATATATTTGGAAAATTTCCTCCCTCTTCTATTTTTTGAAAGAATTTGAGAATAGATATTCTGATTCAATTTTGGAAAATTATATGTTCCTAGGGATTTATCTATTTCTTTTGGGTTGTCCAATTTGTTGGCATATAACTTTTTATAGTAGTCTCATAATCCCTGCTATTTCTGTGGTGTTAGTTATCACTTCTTTCATTTCTGATTTTATTCATTTGTGTCCTTTTTTTCTTGAGGAATATGACTAAAGGCTTATCACTTTTGCCTGCCTTTTCAAAGAACCAGCTCTTGGTTTCATTGATCTTTTCCATTTTTAAGGCTCTGTTTCATTTATTTCTGCTCTTTTACTTCCTTCCTTCTAATCACTTTTTTTTCTAGTTCTTTTAGGTATATGGTTAGATTGAGATTTCCTTTTTATTTCTTGAGGTAGACTTGTATTGCTATAAATTTCCCTTTTTGAACTTCTTTTGCTGAGTCTCAAAGATTTTGGATAATTTTCATTTTCACTTGTCTCCATGTATTTTTTTAATTTCCTCTCATTTCTGATTTATCCATTGGTTGTTTAGTACATGTTATTAGCTTCTATGTGTTTGTTTTCTCTAGTTTTTTTTTTCTTGTGATGTGTTCAGAAAAAGATGATATGGTTTCAGTCTTCTTGAATTTATTAAGACTGTTTTGTGGCCCAACATGTGATCTATCCTGGAGGAATGTTCTATGTGCACTTGTAAAGTGTATTCTGCTGTTTAAGGATTGAATGATCTGTGTATATCTGTTAAGTCCATCTGGTTTGATGTGTCATTGAACAACTCTGTTCCCTTATTGATTTTCTGCCTGGATTATCTATCCATTGATGTAAGTGGGATGTAAGCAAGTCCCCTGCTATAAGTGTATTATTGTCAATTTCTCCCTTTATGTCTGTTAATAGTTGCTTTATGTATTTAGGTGCTCCAATATTGTGTGCATAGATATTTACAGTTGTTATATCCTTTTGTTGGATGGATTGATCCCTTTATCATTATGTAATACCCTTCTTTGTCTTTTATTGCAGCCTTTGTTTTAAAGTATTTTAAGTATTGCTACCCTGGCTTTTTTTTCCTTCTTCCACTTCATGGAATATCTTTTTTCTATCCTTTCACTTTTAATCTGTGTCTTTATATCTGTAGTGAATTTCTTACAGACAGCATATAGGTGAGTTTTTTTTTTTTATTTACTTATGATAGTCAGAGAGAGAGAGAGAGAGAGAGAGAGAGAGGCAGAGACACAGGCAGAGGGAGAAGCAGGCTCCATACACCGGGAGCCAGATGTGGGATTCGATCCCGGGCCTCCAGGATCACGCCCAGGGCCAAAGACAGGCGCCAAAACGCTGCGCCACCCAGGGATCCCTAGGTGAGTTTTTTTTAATCCATCATGCCACTCTATGTCTTTTTATTGGAGCGTTTAGACCATTTGTATTTAAAGTAATTATCAATAGTTATATACTTTTGGCCATTTCGTTATGTTTTCTGGTTGTTTTTATAGTTCTTCGCTGTTCCTTTCATCTTTTCTTGTTCTCTTTCCTTGTGATTAGTGACTTATTTTAGTGTTAATCTTGGCTTTATTATTGTGTATCTATTACAGGTTTTGGGTTTGTGGTTACCATAAGGTTCATATATAACATCCTAAGTATATAGCAGTCTATATGAAGTTGATGGTCACTTAAGTTTGAACATATTCTAAAAGAATTTTTTCTACTCCCCCTTCCACATTTTATGGATATGGTATCATATTTTACATATATATATGAAATTTATATATATAAATTATACATATATATATATATTTTTTTTTTTTTTTTTTTTTTACTTCCAGTTATGGCCTTTTCTTTTCCACTTAAAGAAGTCCCTTTAACATTTCTTGTAAGGATGGATTAGTGGTGATGAATACCTTACCTTTTGTTTTCCTAGGAAACTCTTTTTTCTTTTCAATCCTGAATGACAATTTTGCTATGTAAAGTATTCTTGGTTGTAGATTTTTCCCTTTCAGCACTTTGAATATATCCTGCTACTCCCCTCTAACCTGCAAAGTTGTTGCTGAAAAATCAGCTGACAGTCTTAGAGGGGTTTCCTTTGTATGTATCTTTCCTTCTTTCTTGCTGCTTTTAAAATTTTCTATCTTTAATCTTTGACATTCTAGTTACCGTGTCATGATGTAGGCCTGCTTGAGTTCATCTTACTTGGAACTCTGTTTCCTGAACCTGGATGGATGTCTGTTTCCTTCCCCAGGTTAGGGAAATTTCAGCTATTATTTCTTCAAGTAAGTTGCCCTTTTTTTTCTTTTCCTGGGACCCCTATCATGTGAATGTTTGTTCACTTGTCCAAGAGATCCCTTAATCTGTTCTCATTTAAAAACTTTTTTTTTTTTTTTTGCTCTTCAGCTTGTTTTCCATTACCCCATCTTCTAGATTGCTGATCTATTTTTCTTCATCTGCTAATCTGTTGATTCCCTCTAATGTATTTTTCATTTCAGTTATGCTAACTCTGAAATTTTTGTGTATTTTCTCTTTGTTAAAGTTCTTACTGAGTTCTTCTACTCTTCTCTCAAGTCCAGTAAGTATGTTTATGATCATTATCTTAAACCCTTTATCAGGCATACTGCTTATCTCCATTTCATTTCATTCTTTTTCTGATGCTTTGTTTTGTTTGGAGCGTATTCCTCTGTCTCCCATTTTTCTTGACTTTCAGTCTTTATTTCTATGAATAGTTTTTCTCTAAAATGTGAAGGACTGGTCTTGTGTATGGTCATCCCCTGTTTAGGCTACATGTGTCTTTGGCTAGCTATTGCTGTGGCTGGTGTGGGCTGAGGATCTGAGGGTACTCTGTTCTGGGGTTGCCCTGGTGGGATGGCTGGGACTGAAGTGGCTGCATTCCAGGGTGGCCCTAGGGCTCTGTGCACAGAGAGTGTCCTAGAAGGACAGCTGAAGCTGAAGTGGGTACAAGCTGGGAGGTCCTGGGGATCTCTACATCTCTACATTATAGCCTTCTTTCTCTCTTTTTTTTTTTTCAATCACTTACTTGTAAGTGCTTTTGAGGATTTCTGCAAACTTTTAGTCAGATGGTTCTCATTTTATCTCCAGAGCAGCATCTTAAGGAATGTTCAGTTTGGCGTAAGCTGAAAATCATGGGATGGTTTGGTGCTCCTATCACCACACTTAATAATCAAAACACATATTCCATAACTTGTAGCCAAAATTTCAATGTAGGATTTGTATCCCAATTTTATGCATCTGCCCTAAGTGCATAATAGCTGAAGATGGGCCAGAGCATCCACATTGGAATGAAATATTGAAGTTTTGGTTACTGTTAACCTTAGTTTGTATTTCTAGCAAATGTATTATTTAAGGCATTGGAGAGAAATTATTAAAATGCCTAAAAGTTGGGGAAAAATTTAAATTACATTAAACAATGTCAAGTAAACTATTAAAGATACCACCAACTGCAAGGTATACCATTATATTATAGAAAAAAAATATAGAAATACTGGTGACATGTTATAATTTAAGTGACAGGGATTTTTTTCTCCCCCCAAAAAATAAATAAAACATCATTGCAAAAGAGGTACATGTAAAACGCTGAAATTAAAAATTTTAAGCTTAAAACAGTAAAAGTATTATATTCTTGTGTATATCCATAGAAAGACTATAATAATAATCTTTGAATATATACAAAAAAAAGATATTCTTAAATATGTTAAGAAGAATTGGCACATTCTGAGAATAGGTTGTTGAATTGGCTTTTGGCAAGTTTTCCCGCTTCCCACTGGTGGGTATGGAATAGATCAATTTGTTGAGGCTAGACTTTGTGGTGCCATCATCCTGGAGCTCAAGAGGACCAGCTGCCCTGGCCAAGTCTCTGCAGGGCTCTGACCTGTCCCTCTTCTCCCAGCCATCTTGCTGGCCTCCCGGGAGCTGATCCGCAGCAAGCGTTTAACACAGATGCTTGAGGTCGTCCTGGCCATTGGCAACTACATGAACAAAGGGCAGCGTGGGGGTGCCTATGGGTTCCGGGTGGCCAGCCTCAACAAGATTGCAGACACCAAGTCCAGCATTGACAGGTGGGACTCTATCTGCTTCTTTATCTTGCATCTCCCTAGACCCTGGCCTCTCCTCTCCTCCTCCCATTTCCAACCCAAACTCCTTACATTTTCCCCCTGACCCCTCCCCTTAGTTTCCTCCTGGCCCTCATTCCTTTACCCCTGACCTTTCATCCACAGAAACATCTCTCTGCTCCATTACCTGATCATGATCCTGGAGAAGCACTTCCCTGACATCCTGAACATGCCCTCAGAGCTACAGCATCTTCCAGAAGCCGCCAAAGTCAAGTGAGGGGCACTTTCAAGGCTTCTTTCTCCCTGTGATCACAACACTCTTGTCTAGATTTCCTTTATTGCTATTGTGGGATGACTAGGAATGGGCAGTGTCTCAGGGTCTGCTTTTAGGAGAAACAAATGAAGACTGGCTACTTGCTCTCAAATCCTTATTTCAGGGATGCTCCTGGAAAACAGTGCAAAGTGAGCCAGGGGTGAGAAAAATACTATTAACAAGTATTAAGCCAGTTACCTCTGGAACAACTGGAGCCTAATCCCTTCAGGGAAGCCTGTGAGACAGCATAGGACACTCATTTGACTTATTCAAGAGGTCAGGGAGCTAGGATAGCATACCCCATTTTCTGTCAGTCATTGGCTGAGTATCACTGGGCAGGGCATAACTCTGGCCATAGGTATAGGCAGAGGGAGCTCTGGGCCCCAGAGAAAATGGTCATATCATTGGAAGTCAAGACTCTTCACTACAATGGATGATCCAGGGAGATATGGATGTGTCACCAATGATATCTGCTACAGGCAAGAACACAGACTGGAACAGCCATAGGCTTATAGAAGCATCTCCAACAAAAGCAGAAGTGCAGTGGAAAATGGTTAATATGCAACAAATGCTTCCTGCACATGCAGGACACCATGTTAAGAATTTTCAGTATTACCTGGTGGTATTAAAAATAATAATAATAAGTCAGAGGCCATGTGTTAGAAACCTAATATTCAGCATAACATTTCTGATCTGAAAGGATCTTTAGAACCTAAGTTTTAGCCCTTTTATTTTGTAGAAGCACAGAGGCGAGGTGATTTGCCAGGTCCACACGTTAGTGACCAAAGCAGGGCTGGAGCATGGGTCCACTGACTCCAAGGCCATTGTACTTTGCACTGCCATCTTCCTGAACCACTCTCCGTAATTCTTCCTTCCTGTATGTCTCCCCACAGCCTGGCGGAGCTGGAGAAGGAGGTGGGCAACCTCAGGAGAGGCCTCAGAGCAGTTGAGGTGGTGAGTACATCTATGCCTGCTTGGGGTTTGAGGGGGTGCTGTTAGAGGCAAAAGCTGCCCCTGCTGCCTGTGTCTTTGCTGGAGGCTATACCCTGTGCAGTTATTCTAGAATCCCAGGAGGAACTTTGGGACACAGAAATGCATCAGAGAGGGTCTACTGTCTGGAGATCCATCATTTTACCAAGTGCTAGGCAGCAACAGAGCTAGCCCTCAGGAAAGGATGACTGGATTATTTAGGGCTTCAATTTAGACTCTCAATGAGGGAATATCTGAGACTAGCCAGGTCACTGTCTAGCACATCTATTGGGCACTAGAGTAGAATGAACCATAAATTGGCCACATGCTTAAGTCTGATTCAAGTAGAAAGACTATTTACATCCCTTGGAAGCCAATTAGGTGGAGGTAACACATAGTGTAGGACACTGGGCACAACTATCCCCAGAAATTCCTGCCTTATATCTCTTCTTCCTGGGCCAGTAGTGGGCCCAGGGGCTATGCCCAGGTGTGTCCATTCCTGCTATGATAGCTTCTCAGATATTCTCATCTCTGGCCCTAGGCTAGGTTGGTCTCATATGGCAATGGTCCCAATCCTTTGTCCTCCACATTTAGGATCTAGAGACCCTTTCCATCTTTACTGGGAGATGGGGGAGGTATGCAGGTAAGAGGAGAATGACCTTAGAGAATGAAGATAAGTATGGGAAAGAACTTTTCATTGCCACTATGGTGGTGGTGGGGCCAATTTCCAATTTATAGCCCTTTTAAAGTGCTACTCAAAGCATGGCCTGTGACCAGCAGGATCCACATGAGCTAGAAAATTTAGAAATGCATCCCACACTTGAATCTACATATGCACCACCTGTGGGTTTTATTAAAATGCCGATTCTGATTACCTAGCCCTGGGGAAGGACCTGAGAATCTGTATTTCTTCAAATTTCCCAGGTGATACTGTTGCTGGTCCCATACCACACTGGGAAGCAAAGGTCTAGAGAAAGAAAGATGGCAGTGGTGTATGAGGGATAACTCTCACAATCTTTGCTACCCTTAGAATTGTGAGGCTAGGCAGGCAAGAGGGGTGGGAAATGTGACGGCCCCCAGAATTCCTGACTTTTATGCTGGTACCCATCTAACCATCACATCACTCTCCCTCCTCAGGAGCTGGAATACCAGAAGCGGCAGGCACGGGAACCAAATGACAAGTTTGTCCCAGTCATGAGTGACTTCATCACCGTCTCCAGCTTCAGCTTCTCAGAGCTGGAAGACCAGCTGAATGAGGCCAGGGAAAAGGTAAGTGTGGCCCAGGCCCCCAGTCTGACCCAACCCCTTTTACGTAACACACAGCACCCAGATGCCCCAGAGGGATAAACCCAGAATCACAGAGCTTTGGGGAAAAATAATTTCCTCATTCCCGTAAGAAAAGCAACAACAGCTCTGTTGCAAAGATCCTAGTCTATTCATCAGGTGTAGCTACTGTGTGGTCCTTTACGTTATTTGTCTCAGGACCTACCTTATGATTGTTAAAAGGTTATTACCCCATTGGACAGCTATGTACACTGAGATCCAGAGAGGTTGAGAAACTTGCCTGAAGTTTCCCAGCTGCGATAGACACGGGTGGGTTAGAATCTTGACTCAGGAGCTCAGCTTTGCTCACAGGTGCTGTGCCTCTTCCTGGCTTCTCAACACCAATATCCCCATGGACCCCATCTGTAGGCGGTCCTATTAAAACATGGGTCCTCACTCAGGAGGCCTGCAGGGGGCCTGAGATGCCCATGCTGGTCCATGGAGCACACTCGGGGCTGAATGAGAGGTGGTAGCTGTCCATAAATGTCAGGATAGCGACTGGCACATATAATTATAGCTAACGCTTTACATCTATTAACTCACTTCACCCTCACAACACTATGAGGTAGGATCTATTGTCCCCATGTTATGGTGGAGGAAACTGAGGCACAGGGGAGTTAAATTAGCCCAATAACTATATGATCCCTGGGGTCCTTTTGAGTTTGTCGCCTTAGGAAATACTTCCCAAGGTCTGCAGCTCCCAATCCCAACCTACATCCTAACGGACCCAATGGTGGCTGTGGGCAGCCTCTGCCAGCCAGCTGGGATCCCCCAGCTCCCCATGGCACCAACCTCAAGCTTCTCCTTTAGCCTTGTCCCTGCCCTGATGATAGCAGGTGTCTCCCCCTCCCAGCCTTGGACCGGACTCTACTCTGACTGTAACCCAGCTTACCACATAGGCCGAGCCCGCCCTGCTTGAAGGGAGACTCTCACCAACCCTTCTTGCCCTCCCAGTTCTCCAAGGCCCTGATGCACTTTGGGGAGCAGGACAGCAAGATGCAGCCAGATGAGTTCTTTGGAATCTTTGACACCTTCCTGCAGGCCTTCTCGGAGGCCCGGCAGGACCTGGAGGCCATGAGGAGGAGGAAGGAGGAGGAGGAACGGCGGGCGCGCATGGAAGCCATGGTGAGAGGGCTGGGCTGAGCGGGGTGCTGCTGAGGGAAAGCAGTAGGAGGTGGGGAGACACAGGCTGTCTTAGGAAGCAGCAAAGTGGGACCAGGTGGTGAATACAGGCATCAAGGTGCCCAGCCTTGGAGTTACAGGCCGGTTGGAGGGTTCATTTGACACTTGGGCTGTGGGTGGCGGCTCTGGCCTCAGCTGGCCTCTCACTCTTCCTCCTCCCCCTCCAGCTGAAGGAGCAGAGGGAGCGGGAGCGGTGGCAGCGGCAGCGGAAGGTCCACGCAGGCAGCACGCTGGAGGAAGGTGGCGAGTTCGATGACCTGGTGTCAGCCCTGCGCTCGGGGGAGGTTTTTGACAAGGACTTATGCAAGCTCAAGCGCAGCCGCAAGCGGTCAGGGAGCCAGGCCCTGGAAGTCACCCGGGAACGGGCCATAAGCAGGCTAAATTATTGACCTGGGCACTGGCCACAGCAGGAGGTGGGAGATGGGGCTGGGCCGAGGGGCTGAGCGGAGGCAGCCGTGATCCTTAGACAATTTGGTGCTCGGGTTAAACGAGCCCTGGGCTGGGCCCTGGGGGCGGGGGCCATGTGTGGCCGGACCAGGTGTCCCCGCACGTCTCCTGTTCCGTTACTCTTTCTGCATCCCGGCCGCCCAGGGTCCCTCTGAGGCAGACTTGGACAGCCCCGGTAGGCCCTGCAGAAGGAGCCCTGCCAACCCACCCCCACCCCCCACCCCCAGCAAGGGCACGTACGTGTTGGCACGCAACTGTTCCAGATCTAGACTGGACTGGTCCACGGGCCTTGTCCAGATTTCATGTGCAGGAGGGAATTCATGGCGGGGTGGGGGTGGGCCCCCTGAGAGCCCGAGTGAGAGAACGCAGGCCCCCATCCCCCAGAAGAGGCTTTAATGGAACACTGAGCTGCGGGCAAAGTTTCCTCTTGGATGGAGAAGGAAGAGGCATTAGATAGTCTAGCTAGATCGGTTTCAGAGAAAGTGCTGGGAGGAGGATGCAGAGACCAAGTCATCGGGACACAGAGTAGCAGTGCTTGTTTCCTACTTCCCAAGCCCTTTAGCCCCTCTCTTGTATATCTTAAGTCTCTCCCCCTTCCTTCCCTACTGCCACCTCCCTCCTATTTACTAATCCTGAATCTCAGAACACTCACTTTTGGGTTCCCACGACTATGGTTCACGATCAGGTACTTGATGAATCTGGTTAGGGAAGGGGTTCAAGAAAGACCCCACTCATTACCACACTTTGTGCCTCGGGCATGAGGACCCTGGAACAAAACCCTCCTCACACCTCCTCTGCACAACCCACCCACTCACTGTCTTGATGTGGGACAGCACAGGTGTTGGCTGGGCATTCTGATGGCCCCTCACTAGAGGGCAGCACTTGAATGCCTGGCTAGACTCACGGGCTCCCTGGTCCACAGTTTGAGGTTCATCAGACCCCAAACTCTTGCTCTAATGTCTGCCTCAGGGCAGACGCCACGGAGACCTCTCGCTCTGTCCAGCCTGCAGAAGGCCACTTCACACCATGTGGACCTGGCTGAGGCTGGCCCTTGGGTGTTGCTTCCAGAGAAGATCTGAAGGGCCAGAGCTGCCCTCTGTATTTACATGCAATCTCTGAGGCATTCGGACTGGGAGCCAGAGCAGGCAGGGGAAGCCAGGGAGGCGGAATACAGAAGAGAAAGCCCAATTTCCCTGGGGGTGCACTGCCTAGAGGAAACAAGGGCAGAAAGCTGGGTACCAGAGATGGGGGCTGGGACCCACCTCTCAATTCAGTTCTTCAGTCTGCCTTCCAAGGGGTCCATTCTGGTCCTCCCATCCACTCCCACCGTCTATCCTGTGCATCTTGAGCTGTCCTTGGTTGGGGTGAAACAATGGCTATGTCTAAACTAAACTTCTATGTTCTCAAAGAAGGCAGGAGAGGTCAACTCCATCAAGCCTCTTATTTTCAATACATTTCTTCCCACTGGAGTTGACCTATCATCCTCGGAGTCCAGCCTCCCTCCATCAACCAGCTCCTTGCCATTCTATCTTCCTGAGCTTCTCGTTGTTTCTCACCTTCCAACCTATTTCTCCAGCTCAGGGTTAATGCCAGTGGCCACAATGGTGGGCTAGGCCCACTCTTCAGCAGCTTATCTTTTCCCTACATTAGATTCCTGAGATAGGGCCAGAGTAGCTGCGGGGGCGGGGGACAAGAAACATAGGGTTAGTGAGCCCAGCATGTGTGTTGGTTTGAAGGGGGAAGGGATGTGAGCAAATGCAGGCCTGGCCAGGCTAGATGGGAAGAGGCCATCCTGGAGTCCAGGTGAATGCAAGATGAAGGCTTCCAGGAAGGGCAGCTGCAGAGGGCTTTGTTATACCCATCTGTATAGCTGACAGCCCCCGCTGCAAGAAGCTGGTGATGGGAAGGTGGGGTGGGGGGTGGGGGGCGGTTCTCTGAAGGTCCTCTCCCAAACTGGCTGGGCTGAGGCCAACCTACCCCATAGGGGCAAAGAATGGGGGAGGGCTCCTCTTCTATCCAACAGCATGTCCGTATTGTGGCATTCCCACTCACCGTGGAAGACTGGATACACACCAGGAGAGACAAGGAATACAGAAGTTGTTCAAGACATCCTGCATCCACAGAAAAGCACACTTTGGTTTAACTGTTTACAGAGGACACATACCTTGTTCCAGGGCTCAGGCTTCTCACCCCGGAAGATTTTTCCTTTTCTATTTATTATTGTCTAGCTCTGGCCAGTAGAATAGCCAGATCTACAACAGTGCCTTGGACCATGCACCATCACATCTGAGTCAGCCAGGACAGGCTGGTGCCCCGTGGAGATGGTTGAGTTGGTATCTTGATATGCTAAATGTTTACACCTACTATATTTGTTCCTTAGTCTTTCCTGTGTCCTTCTCTCCCCCACCTGCCCCCTTCAGGTACATTTCTCCAGCTGTCTAATTTTGTGTTCAATGTAAAATTCAGTTAACCTAATCCAACCTGTCCCCTTCTCGGCAGCAACGCCCGCTCCTCCTCCCCGGTGAGGGAAGTCAGGCATGTTTGGGACAGCAGGAGGAAAAAATTCTCCAGCTGGAGAGGGAAGGGGTCTGGTCCAGGCTCTCCCCATCCCCATCCCATTTTTACCAACTGGGGTGCCATGACTGTTCCTCCAGCCTCTACGAGGGACGCCTCCATGCCACGGCTGCTTTCATCAAGCTGGCTCAGACAAGTGGGGCTAATGTACAAAATCTGCAGCATCCTTTTTACCTGCACCATTTTTATAAGAATATATTGTAATACTAAAAAATATTAAATCCGTACCATCCCCATCCAGCCTGCCTTCTTCCCATGCGGGGACTTGAGGTGTGCTGGGGAGTGGTCAACAGCCAGTAGGAGGTTGGAGCCAGTTCATATCAACTCTGAGAGCACCAACTGTTACATTTTCAAAAGTTTTGCAAGCCAGTTCACATTGGTAGCTTGAAATCAGCCATGGAATTTGGCTTTTTCTTTTCCCAAGAGCTGCTTGTCAAACATTCGCCAGCACACGGGGGTATAGGGCAGAGGGGAGGCAGGCAGGGGGTGCCACTGGGGATATACCCAAAGCCGCCTATTCTACAAAGGGAACCCAGCCAACCAGTCCAGTGTTTGGGGATGTGCATACCAGGAACCTCTAAGTGCACCCCCTTGATCTCTAATGGCAAAACCAGTGATGAGCCCGCCACCTGACACTCACTACAGGGGGTACATCTCTGGGCCTCCCACTCCACTCCCACCTTCTCCCACAGGGAAGACGAGGGATACTCAGAGAATGTGCCCCTTTGGCTTTTCTAGCATCCTTCTTGCTCCTCTTCCCCCGGGGGGGAGGGGTGGTGGTGGGCATGAATTCACAGCAGCTCGGTGCACTCTGCACAGATAGTCCTCATTCTTGCATCTCCAAAGTTGGCATCGTGGCTTTATTTTGTGCGCTGTGAGGGCGAAGGCAATCTTCAACTCTCTTCTTTCCCTGATATGTTCCAGAATAAAGGGGTGTGGGCAGCGGGTGGAACAGCAGTGCACAGGGCCAGGGGTGGGACGTGTGCTTGGGTCAGGGATCCCCAGGGCTACTGCTCACGTGTGTCCTGTTCAAGAGGAAGGGACCTAGGAAAAGGAGCTGGCAGCAGGACAAGTGCAATTGTTAAGCCAAAACCCTGCAAGTTTGATGGGACACAGACTCAGGCAAAAGGAGAGGGTACCTGGCCCCTTCAGAGGGGTGGTGGAGAGGCAGGAAAGGATGGGGTTGTGGCTCCCGGCTCAGGAAGGCAAAGCTGCTTTAGAGGATTTGTGGAACATTCTTAATGCAAACCGTGCATTTCCCTCCTCAAAGTGGGTTCCCTCTGCTTCATGAGCCCTTATTCTCTCCCAAAGAAGGAGAAGAGAAAACCCAAAATGAGAAGTGGAAGTTAGGGACTAGGCTGTCTGAAACCGGACGTGTTATCTGGAGACTACTTCAGACAATGTGATTTTTCAGTTCTCTAGCACTGCTCATGGGGACCCCCTTCCATGACTGTGGTGTCCAGGAAGGCTGACAGGAGGCTGAGCTGGTCACTCTAGATCATAAAGCAGGAAAGGGGTGGGCTGACCTTGGAGATAAACAGTGATGGGGTTACAGGAACTTGCTGGAACCACATCCCATCTTGACCCGGCTGGGCTGGGGGTGAGAGGCAAGAGCTCTAAGTCCGATGGAAGTCCCCCCGCTGACCCCCAGTCTTGCTAAGGAGCTTGATCTCACCCAACACAATGTCTCTGCTGACAGCCTTGCACATGTCGTACAGAGTAAGGGCAGCCACGGCAGCCGCGGTCAGGGCTTCCATCTCCACCCCGGTAGGGCCCCAAGCCCGGCAAGATGCTCGGATCCCCACGGCATGGCGTGCAGCATCCAGTTCCAGCCGTACCTGGACATGGCTCAGGGCCACGTGGTGGCACAGAGGGATCAGCTGGCTAGTCAGCTTGGCCGCCTGGACTCCGGCCAGCTGGGCCACCACCAGGGCATCCCCTTTCTTTAGCTGGTTCTCCTGGACAAGCTTGAAGGCCACAGGCCCCAGGAGGACCACGGCTGAGGCCACAGCCACCCGCTCTGTGTCTGGCTTCCCACCCACATCTACCATAGCTGCCCGTCCTTCTGTGTCCACATGGGTTAGGTGGTCCGAGGTTGGCAGGGGTCCTGAGGGGGTGGCAGGAGCCCCGGACACTGCACTAAGGCACTTTGGGTTGGCATCTGAGTCTAGGTGGGAACTGCAGTGTCTCTGAGGGGAGTTGGACCACCGTTGGCCCAGAGGAGGGGTCCGGGAGACCCAGCATCCTTTCCACCAAGTCGACATCCGGTTGGAGAAACTCACTCTGTGTCTTATACCCTGAACGTGAAAGGGGTCCTGGGAGGAAATGGCTGGTGGGGAATCTTGGAGCATCAAAGGTAACTCTGGAAGGCAAGAAGGAAAGAGAAGAGAAACGGAGTCTAAAAAGGAAGGGTTTTTTGTCATCCCCCACCCCACCTCTTCTCCCACCCTTTCCCTGCCCACCCTGAGTTCTTGCTTCCACACTGGAGAAGAGAGGGGTAAGGAGCAAGGAGTGTAGTGAGGAGAGAAAGCAGGAGGCATGCAGACAGAGAGCCCCGGGATACAGGTCTGCAGCCCCCCATGGCAGGCGGTGAGCAGCGTGCAGCCCCACCAGTGTTACTGGGCCCATGGGGGGCAGTGGGTGCGCTCCTGGGCTCCCCTCCCCACCAACTCCCTTGTCGTTGATGTTCTCTTCAGAATCACCTAAAGTCTGAAGGCTGCAGCCTGATCACATGACCTCTCTCGGTCACTGCATTTTCTGGAAGCTACAGTGAGGTCTCAGACTGAATTACCAATCACAGTTACTCCTCTTCACATTCTCTATGCAGGGTTAATAATAAGTATCTGGTTTCCAGGGAAGATAGTAAGGGAAATATTATATCTATTTCAACAAGGTCTTTCAGGCCCCCTCAAGGACATCAGAAGAACCCACGGAGTGACAGGCCAATCCAATGGTGCCAAGGGCCTTGGGAGCCTTGTAGGCTCCTGGTACTCAAAGGGTGGTCCAGTGTAGAAACATGGCCCAGACTTCCCAAATCCAACTCCGAAATGACAATAGCCCCAAGTGATTCACGTGCACATGAAAGTCGCAGGTCCTGTTCCAGGCAACCCCTGGTTTTATAGAAATCAGACCAGCTTATTACTCTATGTCCTTGAGAGGAGTAATAGATCTTATGAAGCAAATAGGCCTCCCACCTTCTGGCTTCCCAGGTTTGGGCCCCCATCTTGCCAGTGTCAGAGGTACAACCCTCCTCCACAAAGGCATCCCCAGCTCCTTGCCATCAAGGTGTGTCAGCATGGGTCAAAGTCCAACTATAGGACTATGACGCTGGAAGTGAGGGGAAGAAGAGAGACGGTCAAGTTGACTTCCCAGTGGAGTGTTTTGGTGAGCTGCCTTCCCTTCTCTGGGAGGCTGGTTTGGGAGGCAGCCCACTCTAGCCTGCCTTCCTCTGGGCCCGTGCATTCACTCACTTGGTTCCAAACCCTGGAGAAGAATCCCTTTCCCTAGTTTTTCTCACTACTTTCTCTTGCCTGGTGGTATAGTTCAGAAGCCCAGATCGGGCTGTGGCCAAGGGGGCAAGGCCTCCCCTCATCTAGTCTGGGCATTTGGCAGAGCAGTAGCAGCATCCCTAAAGCTCCTCATGGACCAACCAGTTCCCCCCAGAGAACACATATGACTTTATGCATATAAGTTTCCAGGAGTTAAGGAATTAGGTAGTTGAGATCCCGGTTGCCTCCTCCTGAAAAGATCAGGAACATTCTTAGCTGGCTGCCCCAAGCCCTGCCCAGATCCTGTAATAGCATCTAGGCTGGGAGGTTCTAGAGCCAAGGACAGGGTCTCCATCTTAACCAGGAGCTCCACCTTTGGGAGACAACAACCTGAGGACAACAATAGACCAAAAATCTGGAAGACCCCCTGCCCCAATTTCTTGTAAGACAGAATGATGATTTCCGTGGTATACAGAGTGAGGGGGAACAATGAACGGGGAAGAGCAGACACCATAAAACTGGAAGGGTGAGAGGAGATGGAGGAGGAGTACAAGAAACACATGATGAGAACATCAGGATGAAATGCAGGATCTGGGGGTGCCTTAGGGCAGGGGCCCCACCCCACGGGATCCCCCAGTGACAAGGGTGAGTGGTTACGTACTGATGGGTCACCCACCGATGAGGATCATGGGCCGGTTCTTCATCTGGGCAATACTGAACATGCCTGGGGTAAGGGAGAGATGAGGGCGGGGGGAGGAAAGCAGGAAAGGGGGAAGGGAGGGGTGGGAAAGGAGAGTTCACTCTCAGGCTGACACAGAGGTAGGACGACCCAGGGACATGCAATCACCGAAGTGCGCCCTGACAAAAAGCCCCTGCTATGCACTGCAAGGTCACCCGTGACAGAGCCAGCATATTCTGTGGATGCCCAGGACCCCACCCTCCTGAGAGAAGGCAATGTGTGGGATGAGACAGGTACAGTGCTCCCCGCCACATCCCCTCTCCCCAATAAAACAGCCCAGGAGAATTCAGAGTACCCTCTCCTGCACAGGCTCCGCTGTGCCAATGCTCCGGAGGGAGGAGAGAACCATCACCACACCCCCAGTCTCCAGGTGCCACAGGAGGGACTGGGTGCCAAGATGTCACTGAGTCCCGCTGGCTTCCTGCCAAGCTTTGCTCTGTCCCCTCAGCCCCTCCGGCCCACTCAATAGCCAGCCTGGCCTGCCCCGTGCCCACCCCTTACCTGCATGCTGCCGCTTCTTCCTGCCCACAGCGGCCCCGATGATCCTCAGCAGCTCCTCCTCAGAGGCCCCTGCCCGCAGGTGATCCCGTAGAGACACCTCTGAGCTCCCGAAGAGGCAGACCTGTGGGTGGTCACCATGGGGGTGAGGAGAGCACGCCTCCCTTGTTTCCGAGCCTTGGCCCCCGTCCCTAGAGTTCCCCCGTGGGCTGAGTGCCAGCAGCTGGGTCATACTCAAGGTGGGACTTCCTGCAGTGAGGGATCGAAGGTGCTGGATGGTGAAGTCAGAGAGGCCGGAAGGGCAGAAAGTGGAACCAGACGTCCCGAGGCCTGTATCTCTGATTCACAGTCATGTTACCTTCAGCCTATACTATAAAAAACAGTTGCCAACAGACATGCCACATAAAAATCCAGATGCAAACCTTCTCCTGAGACATTCCCTAGGGTAGCCTCCTTATTGCCATGAGCATGGACTCCCAATCCTGGCAGTCCCCCTGGATGTGGCACGAACATCCCATTTCACCCGTCTCCTCCTGATCCCTACACTCACGGACCTTACCGGCCTGGCCCTGCACACACTCCAGTTTGTAACCTGGATGGATGGCTGAACAGCACAGACCTGGTGAGGGTGGCATCCTGAAGCCACTCAAACTCGACACTCTCTAGCTTCTGAGACAGGCTGGCTGCTCGGGGGCTCAGGGGTGGATGAGGCAGTCCCAGCAGGAGAGATACCTACCCTCCTCCCACAATGCTTTATAAAGCACCTACTGTGTGCCAGGTCTGTAGAAGGCATTGTGGACACAGGACAGAGGAACGTCTGAGAAGCCTCTGGAGCCGAGAGCACCAGAGAAGATACAAACAGAACCCAAGTAGAAGGTATACCTACTTTACCCTGCTGGCTATTCCTCACCCCTCACTCCCGCACCGGGCCCACCCTCTGCCCCCAGGGGTCCACCTTCCGGGATCCCCTCTAGCTGGCTTCGGCTGAGTTGGCTGGTGGGAGATTGGAGAGTGAAAGGAAACAAAGATTGGGCATTTCTATCCTGCTTCTTCCAGGCTCAGACATCTCAGGCGGTGACTACTCCCCTCCACAGCCCCAGCTCCAGCCCGGTGGCCACTCCGCCAGGATACAGCTCTCCGTGAGCCCCTGTGACACCACTTCCTCCCAGATCCCAGGTGGGAGCAGCTGTCTGCTGCTGCCCCTCAGGTGCCTCAACATCTCTTCTGAGTCACACTCTCCCCACAGTATAAATAGCCTCTCTTCAGAACCCCACCCCACCGTGTCCTGCAGGGGTCCCGACTACACAGATGCCATCCATACCTTATGGCAATTCCACACCTCCAGCCTAGAAAACTCCCCTGGCTTTTGAACAAGTGCTGGATGGTCCCTTCTGGATGACAAGCTCAATGCATCTGAACTCCGATCACCCTCCTTCCCAATGCTGAATAGTTCCCAAAGCCGACCAGGCCCTGGATGCCTTCTCGTGGTCTTCCACATGCGTTTCCAAGCTCCTTCATTCTTCCTTCCCATCCTCGCCTCACACTCTTACCTACATGGAACACTGTTCAGTGGCCATCTGACTAGTCTTCCTGTTTCCAAATTCAACCAGTTGGTTATTCTTCCTCAAACACGAACAGGAGTTATGTCTCCCCTTTGTCCAGCACAGTGCCCTACTGTCAACTGAACACATGCTGTGCTGTACCTTTTACCTGGGCATTCAAGTCCTCTCCCATGTGATTTCCCCATACCTGGCGTTGACCTGCCCTAGCCTTGTCAGTATGAACTCCAGACAAGTGTCCTCCCTTCTCTTGCCCTCCCCTCTCCATCCTTCAAGGTCATCGGTGTCCATAACGTGCTCCCTCAAGTCCTGCCCCCCTTACAGCCTGTCTGGCCACTCCTCTGACAAAGACTTACGTACTGCCACACATCAGCCCTTTGTTTGCTCTTAACCATAAGACTTTACCTCTACAAGGACTGGTTATGTCTCTGCCTCTCTGACACTCTCCAAAGGGCTGAAGGCACAGGATGTGCTGATCAGATGTGAATAACAGTCACTGGTTTCAGATCTGAGCCCTGGGCCTGGAAAGGGGCCCATCAGTGTTGGGGCTAGGGTCCAGGGCACATTGACCCTTCACTTCTCCCCTGCCCACCCTGGTAACGTTAAGTCCTGGCAAGTGGCTCCCAATCACCTGGAAGTTACTTCAGGAGCCCCAGGTAGGCAGGCCATGGGTTCGCTGTCACCTTCAGCCCTCGTGCTCTCCCCAAACTGACACTATTTCGCCATCTGCACCATGTGTCCTGTTGGTCTCCCCTCCAATTGGGGGTACAAGTGGGAAGAGATATTCCCAACACACAAGTGGCAAGGGGTCCCTTGTGGGGAAAGGGATACTTACCTTGAGGTTCCCGTCAGCTGTGATTCGTAGTCGGTTACAGGTTCCACAGAAATGCTCAGACATGGATGTGATGAAGCTGACCTGGCCCCGGAAGCCAGGGATTTTAAAGGCCTGGGGTGAGGAGGGAAAGGGCCACTGAGGGGATGGGGCTGGACAGGCCCAGGACAGGCCCAGCTCCCGAGGAAGGGAGCACCCAAGGTCCCCAGACAACAGAAGACTGACACAATGGAGGACCTATGAGCTCTCTGCCTGCACCTGGCCTGACAGCAAACCTACTATGTTTTTGGAGGCACGTGGGCAGTGTGGCCACAGCATGTCTCCACCACTTACTGAAGTGTGGTTTAAGACAAGGTACTCACGCCTGCCCCCTACCTAGCCTGCTGCTCTGGCCACGAGGGTGGAGGCAGCTGTGACGGCACAGTCGGCCTCTTGTTATATGCCAGCTGTCCCATGGTCCTCCTCCCTACCCAGGCCCACCCCTACTGCCCCCAACCTTGGCTGTGCTGGATTCCTCCTCAGGCAGCTTCTCCAGCTCTGGCCACTGCTGCTGGAGGGTGTCCAGCATCTCCTTGTAGCTAACCATCTTCTTGAAGTTCCATTTGTTGCCTGTATTGGGGTTGGAAGCCACAGAGTCACAGAGTTGCAGGAGCCTGGGGTCTTTAGGTCCCTCCTCCCATAGAACCCAAGAATCAGTTCTGCCTCTTGAATAGGAGAGCCAGAGGCCCTGCCTAAAGCAGGTGAATCACACCATACCCACACTCGACTCAGAGATGCCTCTAACCCCCAATCAGATCCCTAGGCCTGGCACGCCTGCAGAGGCCCCTACCCATTATCCCCAGAGAAATTCCCATACACACAGTGGGGCCCAGGGTCACCAGCACCCACAGGGCCAGCCAGACCTTGTCCACCCCACTCAACCCTTCCCAGGGTCCTCAGCATCCCTGCACCACGGTCTCAGCATGGGACCCAACCTCTTCCCACTCCATCCCAGGTCACTGACCATCGAAGGGCATGTACTCTATGAAGCGCACATCCAGGGGGAGGCCCTTGGTCAAGGCCACAAAGTTCAGGAGCTCGTCCTCGTTCAGGCCTCGCATCACCACACAGTTCACCTGGGCAGGGACAAGAGGACCACAAGGCTTGTTCCCCCTGCATTCTTTTCCAAGGAATGACCTTCAGGGGTCTGGCACTTGCCTAGGCTCTCTACTGGAGGGCCCGTTCCTTGTATCTCTCCCTGCCCAGTTCTTAAGCTGGGGATGCAATGGGGGTCACTGGTTTTCTCCCCTCCAAGAGGTCAGGGGCATGCTGGATGCAGTGGGCAAGGAAGTGATGAGGGTACAGTACAGCTGCACCAGCCAGGGCGAGGAGCTGCCTCCCATGGGCCAGATGCTGGCAGCAGGAGGCCTAGCCAGGGTGGGGGGCCAAAGTCAGAGGTCAAAAGCAACAGCAGGTCCTCACCTTCACAGGGCTATAACCCAGCTCGATGGCCTTGTGGATGCCCTCCATGACCTTGTGGAAGCCTGCAAGGAGGGAGAAAAGGGTCTGGAAACTTTCTCCCTCTCCCTGCCCCCCTTACACCCAGAGGGAAGCACCAGATCTGTAAGGAGCCTCAGAGACCACCAAGTCCAGTGACCAAATAGTAAATATTTTAGGCTTTGAAGGCTGAGAGGTGAAATTGGGGATATTATTAGGTGTATCCTGTAAAGACTATATAATTTCGGAATCTGATAATTAAGTACAATCTTTTATAACATAGCGCTACACACAGAATGGAAGAATGAAATTCTTTTTGCTGGGATAATATTTTGCTTAGCTGGGAGTTCATAATTAATGTTTTCTAACATCAAATTGATTACAAATATGATCTGTAAAATTCATTCTTGGCTCCCAGCCCCATTAAAAAAACGAAAACAAAAACAAAAAACAAAAAAACAAGCAGGGGGCTGGATTTGGCTGGTGGTCTATCATGTGCCAATCCTGATCTAGGTGACCCCTCTCATTGTCTAACGGCAAAACTGAGACCCTAAGAAGAGGTGGTGTCCCACTGGAGGCCTCACGCTGTGTACCTTAGAATGCAGGTTTCCGGTCTCCCTTGTCAGTGCTTTGTGCTGGGGCCAGTGAGCGATTAGTCCTCACGTGATTCTCCCATCTCTGTGGTTAACCCACAGTACCTGGGATCCCAGGCTGCTTCTCACTCTCTGCTCCCTCCTCTGTCCAAGCATTTGAGGGCCTCCTGCACGCTGGCCCCTCCCCCGCCCCCTCAGCACAGCCTGGTGATTGTGTGTGATTCACAGCTGGGCCATTCCCCTGGCGGAGGGTGGCCAGAGGAGGGACCCAGGGTTTCCTTGCAGCATTTTTAGATGGCTCAGTGAGGCAGGGAAACAAGAGGAAGGTGCAGTTTTCATATAAACTGCTGTTATGATAATCTAGAAGCTTCTTCTTTTGTAAAGCACTCCACCTCCAAAAAGGGGTGGTGGACATAGAAGTGTAAATGGGAAGGCAGATCTGATGTCAAGATCTACTGTCTCCAATCCTCATTCTAGGAAATGAGACAAGGAGGCAGAGGATATGTGGATGTCGGGGAGGGGGTGAAACCCACAAATACACTTTCAACTTTCCCACCTCAGCGCCCTCACAGGTTCCCGAGTGCCTTTCCCCTTCAAAGTGAGCTCCCTTGATCCAACTCCTCTCTCTGTTCCCCATTCCTCAAGGCCCAGAGTCAATGCCTCCTCCATGGAGCCCTCCACGTCTTCTCTGCTAGAAGTTCTCTCTCCTTCCCTGTAGCTCTTTAATCAACACAAGACAAACAAAGGTGGCCTAGTAGCAGCATGCATTTTGGCCCTTCATGGCCTGGAAGGCAGAGCAATGTCCTGTGTGCCTGTGTGTCTCTGTCTCCTTCACAGCACCTGAAGCAGCTCTTTCCAGAGGGCAAGGACTCCATTAGCTCATCCTTAACACACGGATGGTGTAAACAGAGAGTCACACCGTGGAGCAGGGAAAAGAGAAAGTGGAACTGGGAGCTAGAAGCTGTTTCCAAAGAAAGGGAGGGATCACTGAGTCTCTTGATCTTGCAGAGAACTCTCAGTTATATACCACCATCCCAACTCAAAGGGCATCCAACCCTGGGTACTTCCCACCCCAAACTGAAGCCTATGGCCCAAGAGCCACTGGGTGCTGGTCTAATGAGACCTGGGGCTCAGGGCTGCTCTACCTCCCCACCTGTGCCCTCCCGGACAAAGCCGGGTAGGGAGGACGCCATGGAAGTGCCACTGCAGGACCCCTGCCTGGCAATGCTGACCTTGACCCTGGCATCTCAAGGCACCTGCTTCCACCTCAGGCTGCCCCACATCTCCTCAGATCTCATTATATGGTCACCAACTTGTCCCCATCCATCAGGGGCTATCTTGGTTTTAAAATAGAAAGGCCTGGGGAACCCTGGGTGGCGCAGCGGTTTAGCGCCTGCCTTTGCCCCAGGGTGCGATCCTGGAGACCCGGGATTGAATCCTGCGTCGGGCATCCCTGCATGGAGCCTGCTTCTCCCTCTGCCTGTGTCTCTGCCTCTCTTTCTCTTTCTCTCTCTCTCTCTCTCTGTGACTATCATGAATAAATAAATAAAATCTTAAAAAAAATTAAAAAAAAAAATAGAAAGGCCTGTATACTAGCAACGTGCCCAGTCCTAGGCAAACCAGGGGCAGGGCAGAGGGAGACAGGTCACCACAGGTCTTAGCATCTGATCCTCCAATTTCCCCAAAGGTGTGGCTATAGAGACAGAGGACATTTGATGAGGGTGAGGAGTAAGGAATGAATTCCTAGGTTTATCTGTAGCTCAGACACCAAAAGGGAGCAACCAGGCTCCTTACTTGGCACCAGCCACAGCTCCTCAGCTCTGTGGGAGGAGCAGTCTGGGAGGGCCACCCCCCACTATAAACCACATCTGCTCACCTTTCCTGCGAACAATGAACTCAAATTTGGCTGGCACCAGGGTGTCCAGGCTGATGTTGATGGCACTTAGACCAGCTTTCTGAAGCTGAGGCAGCAGCCGGGCTAGGTTGATGCCGTTGGTGGTGATGCCAATGGTCCTCAGCCCTTCTAGCCGGTGGAGCTGAGCTGTAGAGAGAACAGGATGGGGGTGGGGGTGTGGTGTGTATGGTCAGTCTGTTTCTTCCTACTGAGGTCCCAGAAAAGGGCTGGAAGAAAAAATTCCAAGTCTAAATAAGGTGGATGGAAAAGGGGTTCTCTGTACTCCTCTATTAACTGGGCTTAGCTTAATAAAAATAAAAAAATAAAAAAAATAAAAACTCTGACAAAAATAACCAAAAGATTACATATTGAGTGCTCATTCTGCTAGAGGCCCTGTTGAGGGCTTTATGTGCCTTAGCTCACTGAAGCCTCACAACAAGGATTATCCCCATTTAATAGATAAGGCAAGAGAGGCTTGGAGAGATTATGAAATCACTTGAAATCACACAGCTAATAAAAACAGCTGAGATTAAAATCCCTGTGTCCTTGACTCCAAGACTGCTCTTGGTAAACCTACTCACAGGTCCTCATACTCTGCACAGGAGAAACAAAGAAGTGTTTGGATTATTTGCTAAACTGCCTCCTCCCCAAATCCCTAGACATAACAAAAGGACAAAGAAAGAGTCCACAATAGAGCTGGAAGGTAAGAAAGAATGCCTTCCATGGCCCAAGTGAAAGAACCCTGAGAGATAGAAAGCAGATAGGCTCCCACAGATTAAAGAAACCACACCCCAAAGCACATACAGAAGGTTCTATACAAAGTAGGAGCGGGACTAATACACCCCAAACTTTGCATTCACCTCTACAGGGAGTAGGAAGGACCCTATGCGTGTCAAGCAGGTTGCCAGTCTGGAGAACTGAATTTGCCTGAGCTGGATAAGTTGGTCTCCCTCCATCCCTGCGTGCAGGTGGAGGGTTGCAGCTTTTACCCCAAGGCTGGAGTACTTAAGCTAGCTGAAAGGAGTGGGGGCAACCAGCATGAATGGAAACAGCAGTGGCAGTCAGGCCAACAGAAGCCTTGGACACTGAGATAAGTACAGAGCCAATAGTCAGCACACATGTAAGGAGAATGTTGCATAAGAAAGATAAATTCCACAAACAGAAGAATGAAACAGAAAGGAAAAGTGACAGAGATAACAGAAGATGATTCTTTTAAAAAACTGGGGTTACATGAATAAACATCCTCAACAAAGTATTAGCAAACCATATGCAACAACATATAAAAAGGATCATATATCATGATCAAATGGAATTTATTCCAGGGATGCAAGGATGGTTCAATGTTCACAAAATCAACGTGATACATGCTACATAAAGAAAATGAAGGTTAAAAATCAGATGACCATCAGGACGCCTGAGTGACTCAGTGGTTGAGTGTCTGCCTTCTACTTAGGGTGTGATCCTGGGGTCCCGGGATTGAGTCCCACATCAGGCTCCCTGCAGGGAGCCTGTTTCTCCCTCTGCCTATGTCTCTGCATCTCTCTATGTGTCTCTCATGAATAAATAAATAAAATCTTTAAAAAAAAATCAGATGACCATGTCAATAGATGCAGAAAAAATATCTGACAAAATTTGACACCCTTTCATGACAAAAACTGGGGAAGAAAAAAAAACCACTAACTTGAAAAAAATACATGCACCCCCATTGTTCACTGCAACATTCTTTACAAAAGCAAATACATGGAAAACAACCTAAATGTTCACTGATGATGAACAAATAAAAAATACACACATACACATACACAATGTAATGGTATTTAGCCATAAAAAAGGAAGTCTTGCCATCCATAACAACGTGGATGGACCTTGAAGGCATAAGGTAAATGGAATAAGTCAGACAGAGAAAGACAAATACCATATGATCTCACTTATTGTGGAATCTAAAACCAAAACACACACACACACACACACACACACACACACACACAAACTTAAATTCACAGATAAAGAAAACAGATTGGTAATTGCCAGAGGTGAGGAACAGGGAGTGAGCAAAATGGGTGAAGGTGGTCAAAGGTATACATATCAGTTATAAAATAAATAAGTCATGGTGATGTACAGCACGGTGACTACAGTTAATAGTACTGTATTGTATATTTGAAAGTTGCAAAGACAGTAGATCTTAAAGGTTCTCATCAGAAGAAAAATAATTATGTGTAGTGATGGATGTTAACCAGATTTATTGTGGTGTTCATTTTGCAATGTATAGAAATATTGAATCACTCTGCTGTACACCTGAAACTAACAATGTTATATGTGAATTATATGTCAAAAAAATCACAGTTAATACCCTCAGGAGGACAAATATTATATCCTGAAAACAAGAACAAGAATGAATTACAACTCTTGAAAATGAAAGGACAGTTATAGAAAGAAAAAAACTAGGGCGCCTGCATGGCTCAGTCAGTTGAGCATCCACTCAAATAGAAAAACCTTTAAAAAAAAAAAAAACTAGATGGAAAGACAGAATGGATACTTATGATCAGCAAATAAGCAGGCTGGAATTGAGCAAAGGAATGCTCCCATAACTGTATACAAAAAGCAACAGAATGTGACAAAAAAAGCCAAAAAACAAAACAAAACAAAACAAAAAAACAAAAAAACAAGGGCTTCCATTTAAATCTAGAGAAAAGATACTGTGTAAAAATGTCCATAGTAGCTATCTTTGATCAGAAGGATTATAGGTGATTTTTTAAAAAGATTTTATTTATTTATTCATGAAAGACACACACACAGAGAGAGAGAGAGAGAGGCAGAGACACAGGTGGAGGGTGAAGCAGGCTCCATGCAGGGAGCCCTATGTGGGACTCGATCCCGGGGCTCCAGGATCACACCCTGGGCCAAAGGCAGGCGCTAAACTGCTGAGCCACCTAGGAATCCCTATAGGTGATTCTTATACTTACTTATCTAGAGGTAAAATTTATTTCAAACTCTTTGAATGCATGAATCTTGGTGAACTCGGCTCTACACGAGTGCAGAAACCAAAAGTACAGTGCCCTAATGAAGCTGGATTGAGAAAAAGGCAACAGCAGATCACAAAATTAACACCCAGCTTAAGTAGGGGTGTGTGGAAAAGCACATGCTCATGATGTAAGACTATATTAATTATATAACTTTTCTGGAGATAAGCTCTGTATCTGGAGAGAATTAGTTTGTGGAACTTTATAAAGCCTGTGATCTGAAATTTCACTTCTAAGAATTTAAGGAAATAATTAAGGATGTGAACAATATTTATTCACAAGAATGTTTATTAAAGAACAATACAAAATAAAAGGAAGAGGGAAATCATCCAGATAGCCAACAACAGAAAACTGGCTACATTATACTTTGTCTAGATAATGGAATGTTATATAACCAAACATGACTGTAACATCATGTTAGGGAGGTTGGGAAATATACATGCTATATCAAGTCCAGGTTGAAAACAGCAGGTAGAAACTAGATGCAAAGCAAAAAGACAGGCAGGTCACCAAACCAAAATGTGGACAGTTGTTGCAATAGGGCAGTAGTGACATCTTTTTTGTTTATTTAAAATAAACATGCATTATTCTTGTAACAAGAAAATAATAGTTTAAAAATAAAAGCTCTTGTTTTAAAAAGCATCAGAAAAAAAGAAAAAGCATCAGAATTAATCCTGGGAAACTCCACTAAAATGAAGTTGGGAGGTTTTGGCAGCGGGAGGGAGCCCTCATGGTCTACCACTCAGAGTCAATTGTACACCCAACAGGAAGAAAGGGACTTGACCTTGCAAGTATACTAAAGCCCTCCTTTACTTTTCCAGCTGGGGAATGAAACACTTTCCTTTTCCATCTGGCAGCAGCTCAGCCAGTGAGAAGCCAGTATACTTCTAACTCCTGTTGACTCCAATGGACTTTTCATTTATAGCAGCCTTCCTTATTTACTCCTTTTCTCCATTAAAAAAACCTACCTCTGCTTTTCTTCTCCAGACTCGCCTCTGGTTTTGCTACAGCTTGTCTACCCCAGATTGCAATTCTCGTTCACCCATTTCTGCTGGTATAATAACCGGCAATTTTAGTTTTTTTTAAAGATTTTATTTATTCATGAGAGACAAAGAGAGAGGCAGAGACACAGGCAGAGGGAAAAGCAGATTCCCTGTGGGGACCCTCCCATGTGGGACTCAATCCCAGGACCCCTAGGACCATAACCTGAATCAAAGGCAGATGCTCAACCACCGAGCCACCCAGGCGTCCCCAGTTTTAATTTTTAATGTGAACAAAAGAAAGCAAAGAGCTTTACTGTGGGAAAGTAAAATATGCAAAATTAGTAGTAGTTGTCTCCCTCTACCAAATCAACTCTGAAGAAACATAGAATCTTGGAACTGTAAAAAATGAAAATCTCGAGGAACACCGGGAGGACAGTGCTTTTGAACTGCTGTGGGGAGGGCGTTTGTAGCCTGGAGTTGAAGGCAACTGGCAAAGAAGGTAAACAGTTCAAGGAAAATAAGGCAGTTCAAGCTCCTGCCTTCACCCACTGATGCCTCAGAACAATCATTGTTTGTCCCTTCCCTGAAGAAATCGGTGTCAAGCACCCCAGAGCACTCAGCTGGGGAATCCACCGGAGGTAAACTCAAGGAATCTGCCAGAGTCCTTCTGGAAGAGGAGTTGAAGACAACATCCTTAGGCATTCATTCCTCGTTCACCCCCCACCAAAGCCCCAGAACTGGTAGACTAAAATCAAGGGTACTACCTCCTTGAAGCCAAATCTGCTTCTCTCTGATGGTCTGAAGGCGAAGACCTGTAGGGTTGCCATATTACATAATATTACATAATATTATGTAACGGTAGGAGGTGCCATTCTCATCATAATGTAAATGAATAGCAGTGCTTCCTGGAGTCGTGCAGTGTATGACTTATGCAGTCATACATGGCAAGCCCAGTTGTTTGGTAGGGAGACTACAAACATGAGTAATAGCTGTGATATTCTCCGTTCTTCAGCCCCATAGGCCCATCAGAGATTAAGATCTGGCCTTAAAGCTTTTTCCATTAAACAGTGCCATACAGAATAGCTAATATCCTCAGGGGAAAAAATGTACCAGCTAAACTAAGGAGACCTTTGAGAAGAACAAC